GAGAGAGAGAGAGAGAGAGAGAGAGAGAGAGAGAGAGAGAGAGAGAGAGAGAGAGAGAGAGAGGGCGACAACGGCGACTGGCAGGCGGAGTGGGCGACGATGGCGCAGCGGAGCTGGTGACGGCGACGATGGCACGGCGAACAGCAGCGGAGCGGGCGACGTCGGCGGCACGTGGCGGAACTTAAAATTGAGCGCGCTTTCAATTTTGTTTGAACGTGCGTTCACGAGCTTTGAACGCGCATTCAATTCGGAACGCCTCCCCTGCTCGGTGCGGCGCTGGACTTGCCTACCCTGCTCGGCGAGACACTGCACGAGGGCTTGGGCCCTGGGGCGTTGGGCCGTCGGTGGCCAGTTCGTGATGGGCGGATGGGCTATGGTGCGGGGAGGGAGCTCGCCAGGATTTGGGACTTTGTGGGACAGACCTCGGCGGGACTGTGCGATAAAGACCTCGGCGGACGACCATGATGGGGCGGGGTCAGGCTCGAGTGTTTGAGAATGCAGGGGATGATGAGAACCGCAAGGCGCAGAAGAAGTGCTGCGTGTACAAGTACATCCTCGTGGGACAGAATCTCGGCGAGAGGTTCTGCGGGAATCGAATGTTGAAGTCTTTTTTTTGCGGCCACGAGTTCCAGGGCAACCAGTACGTGGCGGACCGACAATTTAGGCAGGGTAAGGGATGCCTGACAGTGACAGACGAGGCGCTGGTCGACATACACTACAACACCGACTACAAGCTGGATGGGAAGATCCTTGAGCAGATGCTTCGGTTTTAGGAGCTTCACGGTCCGACGCCTACGATGGATCCACGGCGGGACGAGGGAGGGGTTGGACAAGTGAGGGATGACGAAGACGTGATCGACATGGACAACATCGTGGAGGAGGGTGCTCGGGCAGGGCCGTCAGAGAGCGACCGAGGGAAGGGCGTTGTCAGCGGCCTGCACACAAGCACATGTGGATACGGACGAGGTGGGACCGTCTACGGGGAAGAGAAAGGACAAAGAGGAGGGGGCGCGGCCGGGAGCGCAGAAGAGGCTTAGACAAAATACGACCAAGGAGTCGTACCGTTCATAGTGGCAAATGGAGTTCAAGAAGAAGTGGTTGAGGTTTGTCTACAGTCAACATCAGGCGTTCAACATCTTCTGGAGCGAGCTGTGGTTGGACGTCATCTGACACTTCAGGGAATTGTCGGGGCTAGTGAAGGTTTTGTGGCCTTCGGAGAACGAGATTGTGGACATAGAGACATTTGTCCGCACGGTGGATGATGTGGCAGCTGATCTCGTGGAGGTCAGGGCTCCTTTCTATGTCACGGGGGCCACCATCATGTCGGACGGTAGGAAGACACGCGATGCTAAACCCATCGTTAACTTCCTTGTCGGCGGGTCGCGTGGGGTGATGCTGGTCCGGACAATGAATATTAAGGGTGAGCGGGACCAGGCGTCTGATGTTTTGACGCGCTGGATCAAGGTGTTCGATGACTTCCATCCTAGGTGGGCGAACGCCATCTGCACCGACTCTGTCTCGACGTACATCGCCGCGGCGAACATGCTCCAGGGGCCTGAGCATAGGCCAGAGCATCGACGGATCATATGGCTCCCATGCGCAGTGCATGTCTGCAACAAGATGTTGTCAGACATGGGCCGTTCGAGCTTGTGGACCAAGGACATCATTGTGCGGGGAAGAGCGGTGGTGCGCTTCATTAAGGAGCACGACGCCGCTCTTCAGATCTTCAAGAGGAAGAGCACGCAGATGGGTCTTATTTATCCGTGCGAGACATGTTTCGCATCCGTGTTCGGGATGATGGAGCATTTGCTGGCAGTGAGGTCAGCATTGGAGAGGACGGTGGACAACGATAGTTGGGGTATGGTTCCTTCGTCACTTGGCTAGGTGGGTTAGGTGGCAGGTACAACATGGCCCTTGGTGGGATTCCATGACCATCCTGTTCCATATTATGGAGCCTGTGTATGACATGCTGCGCCGGTTGGACCGTGGAGGGCTGCACATGTCGCGGGTTGTTTAGTGGACATAGGATGTGACCCGCAAGGTGGCACAGGAGGTTCGCGCACTTCTGCCGGATTCTGCACACTTGATTGTGCAGAAGGTGCAGACTCGGTGCGCTCACATGTTGGAGTCAGCGCACACCGTTGCTCACCTTCTCTGTCCTATCCGGCGGGACTTGAGGTACTACGAGGGCGTACTCAGTGACTACGACGCGAGTTTAGTGAGGGAGGCAGAGGTTTACATCTTGTCGCAGACAAGGTTTGATGTAGCCAGCCCCGAGTATGAGACCCCATGTGCGCAGTTGCGCGACTTTCACACACGGAGGGGGGGGATTGCATGGGGGGGGGGAGACGAAGACAGAGAGGCAAAGAGGTGCACCGGCGATGTAGAGAGATACGAGGCTGGGTCTTGGTGGTCGAAGTGAGGACAGTGCGCCCCGCAGTTGCAAATTATCGCTTTCCGCGTTATGTACATATGGACGTGCTCCTCTCCTGCGGAGAGGAATTGGGCCGTCCACGAGGGTGTACACACGAAGAAGTGTAACCGGCTTGAGTTTGAGAAGGTTGCGAAGTTGGTTGAGATCTCAGCCAACGTCCGTCGTCTCTCTCATCAGCGGCCAGGCCGCGGGTTTGCTCTGCTGTGGACTCTAGATGAGTCCTTGTTGGACGTGGAGGCAAGCATTGAGGCTTGTCCCTCATGGAAGGGGACGAACGACAGGAGGACGCAGGAGGAGTTGGAGTGTCAGAGCCGGTCGTGGCAGCGAGACCCGTGTGGGTCGAGAGCTCCTCCGGGTGAGATTGCAGATGTTTTTGGGACTCAAGCTGCCACATTGCGCCCATACCCTAGAGATGACGACAGCGATTACGAGGGTCGGGAACAGGAGGACGAGCGGGCGGGCCCCACTGCTGGAGGCTGATGAGTGGAGCGACCCGGAGGACGTCCATAGATGGAATGGCGGACATGGCTTTTTCAGTGGAGTTGATTTGGAGGGCGAGGTGGGCCTAGGGTGTCGTTATGGGAGCCCTGTTGAGCGACAGAGGCCTGTGTCACCTGACCTATGGTCTGCCAAGCAAGAGGCAGTGCCTGGATCTGCACCTTCGAGGGGGGCAGAGTCGGGTTGTGGTGGCCCTGTCCCTGGCCAGCGACTGCGTAGATTGGTGAAGGGCCCTAGACAACGAAGGAGAGATTAATGGGCGGTCCTTCACTGGTCCAGGGGGACGAGAGAGATAGAGAGGGGTCAACTGATGGAGATGGTGGTGCGTTGGCGGCAGGCGGAGGCGATGCCGAGGTGGCTGCGGCGGTTGGCGGGGACACGCTTAGAGATGTTGGTGAGGAGGGGATGCCGGCGGGTGGCGGAGGAGGTTTCAATGAGTTTGGTGACTTGGGTATGATGTCGGGAGAGACAAGTCGCGGGGGGACAACAGTGTCGCCATGCAGGCCGTATTTGGACAGATCAGCGCCCTGCATCCGGAGTCTTTCTCCCCTGCCATGCGCGCGAAGTTAATGTCGTCACCACCAGACGCACAGGGAGATGAGGACCGCACACCCCCTGGAGAGACATCTGCAGAGAGGCTGGATAGGCTTGATAGTCGTCGAGCTTGCCTCATGGCACGAGGGGACCCGAGGATGCAGGAGTTGGCCCGTCTTGCGGTTGAGGAGCGACAGAGCCAGCTGGGGACATTCACGCTGGCGTCCCTTGACGTAGAGACAAATGTCCACATGTATCCTCCTACAGGGGATCGCGATGGGACACAGGGGGAGGCAGCAGTGCCTGCCCCGTGAATGTGACTGGCACCGGTCACCTGAACGTGACCGGCCGGTCACCAGGGCCACGACAGCCGTTCACGGTTTCTCCTGCCACGTGGGCGCCCCTACGGTCGGGATCGGGGCGGGAGGGGGGTGGCGCGGGGGCCTTCTACACCCCCATGCCTTTCAATCTTGAAAAAAAAAAAAAAAAAAAA